GAGGGGCTGCAGGCGCAGATAATTTGAACTGTTTACTTTAACATTAAAGTGCTAACTATATATATTCACACTCAAACATAATATTTGATCTGATGATGTTAGCTTACTCATTTAAAATCATCAATCAATCATTGTTAGACCACCATTAAGAACCTGGAAGCACTGGACGGCCGTTTCATCCTGGTGTGGGACTCATCAGCAGTGCGCATCCACGACTCCTTCACGTCGCAGTATTCGATCCCTGGACCTTCGGCATTGTAGGCGAACGCCTTACCATCGGACCAATGGACCAGAGAGAGTAATAATAAGTAATTGCTGATCTAGAACAACGCATATATAAGTGAACAATATTGTTGTTTTCGATTAGACCGTCATCAGGTTTTACGCTAAAAACTTTTGTTATCGTATTTTATAATATATTTTTCTTACTAATACTATCAGTACACACCAGTCTTCTTCCTACTATCAACTTTTGTACTTTTGCCTATTTTTATGTGTGCAGTGACGTGAATCTATTTCATTTCATTTGTGATTATTGACTCGTAAATTGCCTTGATTGGTTTAACATTTTCATATATAAATATTCACATTTATATTAGAGTATTAAGTTTGATGACGATCTAATCGAAAACAACAATATTGTTCGCTTATATGTGTTGTTCTAATTTTAATAATGGTTTGAATTATGTTTTCTGGTTAGCGATTATTTAACGAGTTAGTTTTTTCGTCGGATGGGGTCGCCAACCCCATGCCTAACCCTCTTCCTTTATCCGGGCTTGTACCTGGCAGTAGCCCCAAAGAAGCTCCAGGCGGGGTTAATTTTCACAATGGGATTCTTTACTTACTGATTTTTAAAAATAGTCTAGAAAACTAGTTAAGGCCACGAAAGAATGAATGAACAGTTCGGATTGTTAAAGTTTCTACAGTTCGCAAGTGTTTGATTGATTCTCTTTTTGTGAACCGACTTATTTGAGTGCATAAATAAATTTTCAAAAAATACTTTTACTTTAGTAACCGGACTAGAATTGGCGAGATGCTTTTTTCTTGAGTTGTTGTTTCTGTCGTATTTTATAAGGGGAAATTCCACACAAGGGGGAAAACTGTTTACTTTATACAGTAAATTTAAGTTACTCCCTTTGGTTTGTTAAATAATAATCTGATATTTTGTAAAATATCTTTGATCAGGTGATGAACTATCTGCTTACTTTATCACAGAGTTACGCATACTCATATGATTGTAAAGCTTTAGAAAAAAAATGACATCGTTGTCAGGAAAATTTCGCTCACTAAATTCATTTGTGACCTCTCGGCTAACTTTCTATTATCAATCTTATGTTTTTCGACCTATAATCAAGTCATTTAAAAATCTTACAATCAATTCAATCATATGTCAATTTAGTCTACTAAACAATAATTATAATTCGATTTTATTCTGATCATTTATTGTTCCTTAGTGTGTTCTATTGTGAATAAGCTTAAACTAGACAAGACAATAACTAGTCGAGATTATTATATATTAGTAACAATCATTTATGTTGTTGTTGAGTGATTAGTTTAGTTTGTGAAACTCTCTTTTGTTTATTCGAATAAATAGTTATGAATTTCGATGTGGTAGATTTGAATAATAGCCAGTAGTAAGGCTGACAGTGTGTTTTTTTATTCTATACGGGATTTGTCTCTTGGGTGAACTACGTTGAACTGATTGTGAATGTTAACACTAGGACATAAACCATTGAACTAGTGAGTTTACTTAGCTCCTTGTTCAGAAAACCATTTTGTTAACTTACTTTTGATAAGAAAATACAATCGTTTACAAATAAATAGTTCCAAAGCTTAAGACTATAATACAACTATTCAATATTTTGTTGGCCTAACATAGTCTATGTTTTCTAGCTAAGTGCTATACACAATGAAAATATCTACAGAAGGGACCACAAGTAATCATACTCTTGAGTTCATTTGTGTTTTTATAATATTTTGTGAAAAATATTGATACTGCTAGTTAGTTTGTTAGATAGTTTGACTCTGTCAACAAACTGTTATGACTCAAGATTTCCATGCTAACCAGCACTTATTATCTCGGTATCAATGCAAACTTAATGAATAAATTTATTGAACTCAGTCATTGAGTCTACTGATCTTGAATAAAAATAATTACTGCTTCCATGATTGATTTGCTTTATACAACTCAATCAACCTACTTACTTGCTTACTTACTTACGCCTGTTACCCCCCAATAGGCCGCACACCAGTTTTCTCCAACCAACTCTGTCCTGAGCTTCCCTTTCCAGTTCTGTCCAATGTTTGTTCATTCCTCT